AAAAAGAAAATACAGATGAAAAAAGAAATCATGATCCACATAACTATGAGATTAGATTAACAACATGAAGATTTTACAGTGAAAAGGTTTATGTTGATAATGACAAAGTTACAACCCACATGAAGATTTAAACATCATAAATGTTTATTTACCGGGGGCATCTGGGTGGCACAGTTGGTTGAGTGTCTGAATCTTGATTTCGGCTCAGGTCATGATCTCAGGGTCATGAGATCAAGCCCTGTCAGGCTCTGCGCTCAGCGGGGCGTCTGCTTGAGATTCTCTCTCTCCCTCTCTCTGCCCTTCTCCCCCTCCCCCAAATAAATTAATTTTTAAAAAACAAGCTTTGATTCTTTTGATTGGGAGAATGGTATTTAGACACCATGATATGGGTACTAGGTATGTTCATTGTTAGTTACTGGGGTGTCATTACTTCAGAGATAGACAAACAGACATATACACAGTACATCTATTTCTAGCATTTATCTACCAATATTTAAAACCATGACTTCACACTGATGGATCCAATCCCAATCCAACACCACTGGGTGTATTCTAGCCTTTCCTTCTTCCACATTTTCCCCTTTTCTAACAGTGAGAAACTTATCTCTCATTATCCACAATCCATTTCTTTATTAAGATAAACATAAAATAGTTTCAGAACTGTTAATATTTTAAAAACCAGAGATTTTGGGGTGCATGGGTGGCTCAGTCAGTTAAACATCTGACTCCTGATTTCGGCTCAGGTCATGATCTCAGGGTCGTGGGATAGAGCCCCGCGTGGGGCTACATGCTGGGTGTGGAGCCTGCTTAAGATTCTTTCTCTCCCTCCCCCCAGCCCCTCCCCCCAGCTCATGTGTTCGCTCACGCGCTCTCAAAAATAAATAAATAAATAATTTTTTAAAAACAGATATTTTGAGGAGTTCTGTTTCTGAAACATAAAAAGTTTTTTTTTTTATTTAATAAAAACAGAGGAAAAGGAGAGCCCAAAATACACACTGAAGAAAGGTCCCACAGGTATAAAAACAGATTTTTCCAGCAGACTGACAAGAAACCCCAAGTTCACAGATGAGAACTCTCATCCCTGTTCAAGCCGAAAGAGAATCTCACATTCAAATGCTGGTTTAGCAGATCCTAAAATTTTCAGTTCAAAATTATTTTGCCTCACGAATTTGAAACTACTGGTCACATTGTCTTCCAGGGGCTTCCAGATTTATCTTTCCTACCTCCTAACTTTTCTCTCATAGTATCTTTTCTTTCCTTTTTGTTCTTTTTATGCAGCATGCTGGGACAAACCATCACAGATGTTATGTTCAATGGTGTCTTTTCAATGATTTAATGTATCTTGAATTTTTTATAGCAGTGTGCTCTTTTTAAGATCTTTAATGGTTGCTTCTCATGTCAGCCTGTAAAATGTTTTTTGAATGTTATTTCTTGTCTAATGACTATTAAAATATGAGTTTTGCTTATCTTAAGGTCTTTCTTTTCCATATTTCTTATTTTCCCATTTCCTTGTGTCTTGATTTTTCAGTTTATTCAAATTGCTCCCAACCTCTTAATAATGTTATTTCCCAAATATCTGGTGATTCCGAAGGTGTCTTTATCTTTCAGCTGACAAAAAGAATAACCTAGAAGCTCCAAGAAATTCTAAGAAATAAAAAATGTAAAACCAGTTACCCATAGAAGAAAAAAATATTCCTATCATCCGACTATTTAACATTGAATATCAGAAGGCAGAAAAGCAATGTCTGTGAACTTCCAAAAGAAAATTATGTGGAATCTAGACTTTAAGCTCTAGTCCAGCCTAAGAAGAAAACCAGTGCCATGAGAGAAATAGCACCAATTTCATGAAAGAGGAAAAAAAAAACCCTAAAAATAATTAGTTGAAGAAGTAAAAGAAAACATTAAAATCATTTAATTGATAGTTTCAGAAATATTCTATAAGAGTGGTGCCTGGGTGGCTTAGTCGGTTAAGCGACCAACTCTTGATTTTGGCTCAGGGGGTAATCTCAGCATAGTGAGAGGGAGCCCCGAGTCCAAGTCCAGCTCTGTGCTCAACAGGGAGTCTGCAGTGCCCCTCTGCCACTCCCCCACTCTCTCTCTCTCTCAAATAATAAATAAATCTTTAAAAAATATATACCCAACAAGAAATCACTTACATTAAAAAGTCACATTAAAAAAAATTAGTAATTTAATTACTTAGAAATTTTAAAAAACAGGACGCCTGGGTGGCTCAGTCAGTTAAGCATCTGCCTTCGGCTCAGGTCATGATCCCGGGGTCCTGGGATCGAGTCCGACGTTGGGCTCCCTGCTCAGCGGGGAGCCTGCTTATCCCTCTGCCTGCAGCTTCCCCTGTTTGTGCTCTTTCTCCCTCTCTCTGGGGGTCCTGGGGCAGATGTCTTTACGTATAAAGAAAGTGGAGTTAGGAATCTCAGTCGGAAATACGATCAATCTTAGAAAAGTCACAAAGACATGCTTCTTGGGTTGTGGGCAGGGGAGGAGGTGGGGAAGGAAATTAGAAATTCCAGGACAAATAAATAATTTTTTTTTTTAAAGAAATTTTTAAAACTGGGGCACCTGGCTGGCTCATTCAGAAGAGCATGGAGCTCTTGATGTCAGGGCCATGAGTTCAAAGCCCCACACGTAGAGAGGACTTAAAAATAAATTAACTTTAAAAAAAAAAGATTTTAAAAACCATGCTTGCTATCATTTAGGATATCTCAATATAAGGACAGCATAACATCATGGAGTAAAGTCTGAATTTATGATCTCAGAGATCAAGCTGAGAGACTCCCAGAATGAATCACAAAAGGACCAAAAGATTGAAAGTCTGAGGTAAACCCAGTTCAGAGAAATAGAGAATAAATATAGAGATTCCACCATTGGTCTATCAGTAGCTCGAGAAGGAAGGAACAGAGAGAACAGAGGGGATAAAATAAGAAAGGAAATAATGTGAGAAAATGTTCTGCCAGGTGGAAAAATATAAATCTATGAATAGCCAAACTATGCACAAAATGTAACAAAGTTATTTTTTCAGACATTTAAGAATTTAGAAAACTGACCTCTTATAAAGCCGGGGGGGTGGGAGGGTGGCAATGGGGAGGGGCAGAGGGAAAGAGAGAAAGAATCTGAAGCCGACTCCATGCTGAGCATGGAGGCCAATGTGGGGCTCAATCTCAGGACGCTGAGATCACAACCTGAGCCAAAATCAAGAGTCAGAAGCTTAACCGACTGAGCCACCCAGGTGCCCCTCAGAGTACAAGAAGGGGAACTCCTGGCCATCTGTGCAGCACCTCGTTTACACCCAAGCTGGGCGTCCTAGGAGTTCTGGGGCAGATGTCTTTACATATAAAGAAAGTGGAGTTAGGAATCTCAGTCGGAAATACGATCAATCTTAGAGAAGTCACAAAGACATGCTTCTTGGGTTGTGGGCAGGGGAGGAGGTGGGGAAGGAAATTAGAAATTCCAGGACCAAAAAAAAGCCATATAAGAAAGTTAGGATCAAATTTGAAGCCAACTAAAGTGTGAGGCGATTATGAGCAACTGATTCTGAAGATTCTATGTGTCTGTTGCACCCTGATACCCTGGAACACTAAGCTTCGAGCCTGCAGTTTCACAACATAAGATTGTGTTTTCTCTTCAATTTGTCCTATCATACCTACTTGGCTCTGCAATGAAAGATATTTATGTTATCATAACATTATAAGTGGTGTTTATTCATTTTCAATTTCTGTGCTAAACCTATTAGCAAAATGTAAATGTTATCAACGTTGCGATACACAGAATTTGGGAGGCAGACGGAAGTAAAAAATTGTTAAGAGCACTACCTTTGCACAGCTTTGATAGTACCAAGAGATACTGTCTAAAGATAACAGAAGAAGAAATTAAATTTTAAAGATCATATTTATAGGAATGATCGCTACAAGAACTACAAATAAAAAGGTAGCTAGTTAGATTTGGGGGTGGGATTTTAAATAAGATCATTCCTTAACTTTCAAAATCGAGCATCAATAAATACTGCCTGTGTATGATAAACAAAAAAGTAAAAGTATAAAATTATTAAGTTAAGAAAGCAACAACTAGAATACTTAAAAAGGGAAATGGTTAAGGAGCGCCAGGGTGGCTCAGTCGTTAAGCATCTGCCTTCGGCTCAGGTTGTGATCCCAGGGTCCTGGGATCGAGCCCCACATCGGGCTCCCTCCCCGGCGGGAAGCCTGCTCTCCCTCTCCCACTCCCGCTGCTTGTGTTCCTCCTCTCTCTATCTCTGTCAAATAAATAAATAAAATCTTAAAAAAAAAAAAAAGGGAAATGGTTAAAAAATAGATTATTCTGGGGAGTGGAATGAGAGGTGGAAGTGAAAGACTTTCGCTTTTCCTGTTATGCCTTTCTGTATTGCTCAGCTTTTTTTCTCATATTTGTGTTCTAATTTAGTAATGATTTTTTAATGTGTTAAAATATTAGGGCAACCACTGAAAAATGGAGTAAGAACTATAATTTCCAAAACCCAATATGGAAAAAATGAACCAAAGAAACTCAATCAATGTAACAATATGCAGGAGAAAGGGGGGGGGGGGGGGCGGCAGGCAAAGAACAAGGAATTACAATAAATAGAAAATATAAAACAGGATGGAAAAAAAGGGAAGCAAAACTCTTAAAAGGTAAATTGATCAAAAGGTAAATCTATTGCACTAAAGGAGAGAAATACATTAATTTAAGAAATAAATTTACAAAGGGTTTGGATATATTATGTATGCCATGTTAACAGCAATAAAATTAAATTGGGAATTCAGGGAGGCCCTTAGGAGAAGAGGGAACAGAGGGTTGTATTTGTATATTCTTGGGGCCACAGGAGTGAGGTGAGCAGAAATCATAACTGAGTCCAGCCAAGTACAGCAGGGAGTCTCCTGTGACTGAATGGGGCCAGCCCATGTCCGACCACTCCATTAAAGAGTGTTACTGTCTCTGAATTGTGTCCTCTCCCAAACCACATTTTCAAGCCCTAGAGCCCAGGACCTCAGAATGTGGCTGTATTTGGAGATGGGGGTCTTTAAAGGGGTGAATAAGTTAAAATGAGGTCATTAAGGTAACCCTAATCCAATATAGCTGGTGTCCTTGTAAGAAAAGGAAGACCATGTGAAGATGCAAGGAGACAGGACTCTCAGAAGAAACCAACTCTGCCAGCACCTTGATCTCAGACTCCAGAGCCATGAAAACATAAATATCTGTTGTTTAAGCCCCTCAGTCTATGGTAAGTTTGTTAGGGCAGCCCTAGCAAACTGATACAGAGGGTCTCCTCTTCTTGTTAATGATACTACAATTACAGAAGTCACATGCCAATAAAGTGGAGAGAATAAACAGTGATTATAGGCAGAACTGTATATGGGTCTATCCACTTGGGCAGAGGGTCTGGGGCATAGTTTGGGAGGTTTTTGTGCTGTTAGCAAAGGATAGGAGTGGGAGATGGGCTTGGAATTGGGCTGAGGTTGTAGCCCTGTTTATCTTTCACTGACACGGTCATAACTTAGGTAGCAAATGCTGGTAAAGCCAGGTTGCCTAATTCTGTTACCTGATGGCCACTGATCAGTGGCAGGCAACACCAGCACAAGTAAAAATCTGGGCTCAGTCTCCTGATGTGTTTGTGAACTGGCTTTCTAGCAGTCAGACAGTTCTCTTATTTGCTTTTCTTATCCCTTGCTGTCACCAGGAAAGACTGGGCCTGATTTTAAAATTCGGACAATGGAAGGGAGTCAACAAACTACATCAGTAATCTCCAATTAAAAGACAAAGACTCAAAGTAAGGAGAGGCTAATCAATGGACCAGAATAGAGTCCAGCAAGACTTACACATATTCAATCCACTCATTTTCAACAAAGGTGCCAAGTCAATGCAAAAGAAAGAGAATTTTTAACAAATGATGCTGGAACAAATGAACAGCCATACAGGAAAAAAATATAAAAGAATCTCCACCTCTGCCTCACTGCATATGTAAAAATGAATTTGAAATGGACCATACGCCAAAATGCAAAAGGCACAAAGCCCCACCTTCTTAAAAGGTGAAATACTTGAACAGAAACTTCACGTGCCAATATGCACATGAAAAGTGCTCACTGTCATTAGGGAAAAGGAAAAGACAGAGACTCTTTAAGTCCTGCTACCCAGCTATGGGCTGTCCATTCCTAAAACAAAAATATCTCCCTTAAAAAACTGGGGGAAATAAAAGAGATGGAAAGCAAGCACGCTCATTCATCATTAAGAATGCTAATTGGCACAGTTTTTTGGAGAGCAATTAGGCAGAATTTAACATCATATTACCTGCAAAGTAAAATGCATGCTTTGACCCAGCACTATCGATTGTAGGGATAATCTAAAGAAAACTCCTCCAACACCCCCACACACAAAGGCACATTTACAAAAGTGTTTGCTGCAGATTTTTATGGAAGAGTAAAAATTTGGAAACTCCGTAAAATGCCCACTAGTATGGGGAGCGGTTGAGTAACTTATGGTGCTTCCACTGTTCATGTGATGGATGTAATCGTTAAAATAACAAGGCAGACCTGTATTTACCGACATGGAGAGATCTCTGAGATATATAGACCTATTCCTAAGTGAAAAAAGGAAGTCACCAAACAATGCAAATGGTTCTATTTACATCATTAGAGACTTACACAAAGGTGAACGTTTTTGTAAGTAAAGGCAAAGGTAAATTTCAGGAAGGATACACCTGGGAACCTAAGAGTGTTTGCCTCTGTGCACATAAGGTGTAAGGATACTCGCCATCACTTTTTACTCGATATGAACTGTTTATAACTGGGATGAGTTTACCTGTTCTCCACGTAATTAAAAAAAATAATAAAAGCTGCTTTTTAAAGTACCGAATATTAATTATCAATGAAACTAACATGTATAGAGTGGTTTTGCCCCAAATTCTGCTAAAAGCCTTACATACATTATCTCACTAATCCTGCAAAATGGGCACTTATGCTCATTACTTAAAGAAGTGGAAGCTTAGAAGGTTTTAGGGGCACTCAGTGGCACCTTAAAATCATCTGAGGAGCGTTTCTGTTTCGGTTTTTTTTTAATTCTGATGGTTGGACGTCATCTTGGATCCACAGGACCAGAATCTCCGTAGGAGGGGCCCAAGCATCGGCAGTTTGCAAAAGCTCCAAGAGGTGATTCTAATGTGCAGCCAGTGTGGAGAGCCAATGGTTGACATCATTCTCACTGCTAGGTCACATTGCTAGCAAATGATACAGCATGGCAACACTGCCCCTTCCAACACAGAGAATTACAGGTATAGACAGATGTAGACGTAGACGGTCCAGGCATAGGTCTAGGTGCAGGTATAGATACAGATACAAAGATGATTAGACGTAGGCATACATATACATATTGAATATATCTATTCTTTCAATTACGGATGAAGAGCACCTCGAGTATAAAATGCACTGTGCATTGTCCTCTGTTCCTGCTCCTTCCGGTTCGCCCATCCTCTGTGTCTGCCTTCTGCAGTGGTCACCGAAACTCCTGAGGGGTGATACGTGAAATATTTAACAGTCAGACAGCACAGGCACTGACCCATCAGAATGGACCCTGGACTTAAAACCAGAGCAGGATTCAGGCTTTCACCATTTGGTCACTGGCTCCTGAAGAGGTGAAAGTTTTCCCCAGGGAAAGCAGCTGTGAAATGCCACTCAGCAGGCTCAAAACAGTAGCTGTTTACTAACCGGTATGGAAATAGTTCCCCATTTTAACAACCACTCCAGTAGTGCCAGCGTCTAGCTGTGCACAGACCGAGGTCTGAATGGTGGTGGTGGTGTTGGTGGTGGTGCTGAGGGTTTTTCAAAGGTTGTTCTCAGACGGTCTGCCTGCCAGGCAACTATTTCAACTACTTCCACCCAAAGACTTGCTTCTTGAGCACTGGGAGGAAAAGAACAAGGCTGGCAAACAGTCTGTGATCCACACTGGGCTGCCCCCACCAGCTGTTGTGTGCCTGGCAGCCCCCTGCTCCCAGCCCCTCTCATTCCCAGCTCCAAGGGGGTCTGTCACTTCGCTGATTACTGCCATGTTTCCGTCCTGAAGTGGCAGCTCCAGTTGTGTTTCCCAGATAATTTCCAAGATGCTAATTGCCACCTGCTGATTTCCTGTAAACACTGCACTTTACACATGTGATTAATCAGAAAGCTGTGGACGTTCTGAAGGAGCGTGTGTGCCTGCGTGTGTGTGCGCGCCCGTTTCATTACTGTGGTGAATTTAAATCACAGGCGATGTTTGCTCACAAAGCCGTATTAGCGAAACGGCAGGGAAAACAAAATTACAAAACACCATAAACTGCAAGTTCACAGACTGTGTAAACAATTCGAGTCAGTCCGACAACTCGCTGAGTCAGTTCTGGAACAGAGCAGCAGGCACGGAGCATCTCCAAAGGAGACTTGGAATCATAGGTGCTTGTGTTTCTTGGAGAAACCAAAACTAAAAACATTTTCAAATCCTCAGTCTTCCACTGACTACTCGTAAGATCTGTACAAAGTACCTGAACCTTCAAGCTGCCCTTCCCTCATCTGTCAATCAAATGGAGGTAACTTCTAAGTCATCCAAGATAACACAGAAAATACTTATTTTGCATATTAGTCAGAATTGTTTGGGTTGTTAGTGACAGAAATTTAATTCAAAGTGGCTTAAGCAAAGCAAGAAATGGAATGGCTCAAAAAATAAAGACCAGGGGCTCTGACTTCAGGTGCTGTTGGATCTAGATGCTCAAATAATGACTTCGGAACTCTATGACACCCTCCCCATTTGGGGTCCTGCTTTCCTCTGTGTGGGCCTCTTTCTCAAGCAGACTCTATTTATGGCAAGCTGCTACACTAACCAACAGCTCCACACATATATCTTATCTTCCCAACAACCCTAGAGAACTGGTATGGACAGCACCTCCCTTGGAAAATGACCCACTAGCCCATTCTCAAATCACACAGTTTGGGTGTGGTCAAGTACGTACTTACTTAGACCCTACTCAAACTCCAGAGATAGGCACAGAACCAGACACATACATGAAGACACAGCTGGACCTCTGGCCTCAAAACCAAACAAGACAGCTCGAAGGATAGCCAGTCTCACTTGACAGTATTTGTAAAGGGAAAAATCAGGGGTTCGGACATCAGGATCTGAGTTCCAGGACTGATACTCAGTCTTCCATCTCCAAGGCTGTCATTCAGAATAGGAGAGATAGAGAGTCTCCAAGATATACAAAAACTAAAGGAATTTGTGAACACTAAACCAGCCCTGCAAGAAATATTAAAGGGGACCCTTTGAGCAGAGCGAGACACCAAAAGTAACAAATACCAGAAAGGAACAGAGACAACCTACAGGAAGAGCGACTTTACAGGTAATACAATGGCACTAATTTCATATCTTTCTATAATTACTCTGAATATAAATGGACTAAATGCTCCAGTCAAAAGACATAGGGTATCAGAATGGATAAAAAACAAGACCCATCAATATGCTGCTTACAAGAGACTCATTTCAGACCCAAAGACAACTCCAGATTGAAAGTGAGGGGGTGGAGAACCATTTATCATGCTAATGAACATTAAAAGAAAGCTGGAGTAGCCATCCTCGTATCAGACAAACTAGATTTTCTTTTTATTCTATTTTTTAGAGATTTTATTTATTTATTTGAGAGAGAGAACAAAATATGGGAGGGGCAGAGGGACAAGCAGACTCCCCGCTGAGCAGGGAGCCCGATGTGGGGCTTGATCCCAGGACCCTGGGATCATGACCTGAGCTGAAGGCAGACACTTAACCAACTGAGCCACCCAGGCGCCCCAGACAAACTAGATTTTAAACTAAAGACTGTAATAGGAGATGAAGGACACTGTATCCAATATATGACAATTCTATGACTGATTTTCCCCATTTTACTCTTAATACTTTGAGTAAAAGGATTATGTCTTATACTTATCCCACTAGTGCCTAGCATGGTGCCTCATAGATATACAGAAAAAATTGTTGACTACTAAATATTCATATATAGTTGAAATTTTTTCATTATTGTATTGCTCAGTGGAGTGAAAGGAACTGGAACATTTTAACAGTTGTTATTCTGTCAGCTGATCTGACCGTCATTAATTAACCAGTGGGAGAGGTGATTTTTAATTTGTGAAAAGGAAAACTATTTCACCTAGTTATGGCTTGGTTAATAAATCATATTTGAAAATACTGTGTCCACAATAGGCACACCAATATACTCAACCTTTTCATGTCCACTTTTCAATTTTTAAAGAAATGGATAAAATTTTCAGGGCATTAAAGAAATGAGAAGTAACTGGCATTACTAGGAAATTCTCTAGCTTGGATTTTTTTTTAACGTAGCATAGGCATAGATAGCACTTCTTGGATCTATTTAATGTATAGTTAATGTTTACTTTTGTGGTAACCTTACTTTTGGCCAATGGTATTTAAAGCAAGCTATAACCCGTGGTTGCCGGCCAAAGGGCTTGTGGATCGGCACCATGGACAGAGGAATGGCGTGGAAAAAGTCACTCTACGGCAGCTTGTACAACGACAAATGTGATATCAGATAGATATACTACCAAGGAAAGGCTGTGTGAACATTCCGCTGGGGATCATTTGAAGACAGTGGCTCTGGATTTGGGTCAACTCAGAGGACAGAGTCTTAAGAAAATAACCACCCCTCCAAGAAGTCTCCAAGTAGTATGATCTGCCTCATACTTTGGATTTTATTGACCTCTATTGATTCACTATTTTTTCCACAATCTGATCTTCTGTTCTCAAGTCACCAACATTTTCACCCCAAAATAAATGTAAACACCTAATTAGAAAATGTGGAGGACATCTGTTCTTTTTACCATCCAGCATCTATGACCCTTTCTTCTTTGCAAACCACCTTTCAAAAAAATAACTGTTTTTAAAAGATGGTATCAAGGAATTCTTGATGCTAACAGGAAGCTTTTGATGGTATTGAAGTTATGTTTAAAACAAGAGTCCCTGTCTTTTAGCAATACCTTCTGATAGTTACAAATGAATAAATGTGATGTCTGGGATTTGCTTCAAAATATCCAGGATTGGGGAGTGGGTAGAGATATAGGGAGGATAAAATTGGCCATGAGTTGCTAATTGTTAAAACTGGAAGAGGAGAACATGAGAGTTAATTCTACTTCTTTGTAATTCTACTTCTTTGAGCCACCTGGGTGGCTCAGTCGGTTAAGCCTCAGACTCTTGATCTCAGCTCAGATCTTCATCTCACAGTGGTGAATTCAAGCCTCACACTGGGCTCCACACTGACAATGGAGCCTACTTAAAAAAAAAAAAAAAAAATACTGGTGTGTGTTACTGAGAGGCCACCAAACAAAAACAAAACAAAAAACAACAAACTACTCCTAAAGATCTTATGATCCTACATCTGAGAGATAATGAACATGCCCCAGTACCCTCTGCTCCAAGAGGAACTTGAGGAGGTTAGGCTATAACTTTCCCATGCAGGTGAGATTTTGTCTTTTGGAAGTGCATGTGATGGAATAGGAAGTTCAGATGTCTACGGATGATCACTTTCTTGAGGAGCGAGATGTTTCAGGAAAACAGTTTCTAAGAAACGAAACTTTTCATGCACCACCTGACAAGAAGCGGCTGGGGCAGCCTAGAATTGCAGGAACTGAGGCTGAGTGTGGGAAGTGCTTGTGATGGTGGGCCCAAAGTCAATACACTAAAGCTCTAAATCAGAACAAAAGCAAAACAAAAAGACACTGTTTAAATATAAATGGGCTAGATAAGTAGACGAAACCAAGATATAATGCCAAGCACATTAGGATGGAGAGGAGCTAAAATATGAAGAGGGTGGAGAGGTACAAAAGAAAGACACACCTAAATATTTGGGGGGGGGGGACATTAAGGACTTTTCACTGCAATAGCCATGTCAGAAGCAAATGAGGAGCCAAAAGAGAGAGTGAGGGATAAAACGAGAAAAGGAATGTAAAAGTGCTTCAAAATCTGTGAAACTGTGCACACATGGCAAGAACTGCTCAGAGGCTATGGGCAGCAGATGGGGTTGAGTGCCTACTCAGTGAAGTACTGCTGTAAGCACCCGGCACATGTGGCTTAAAAAAAAAAAAAAAAAAAAAAAGTCCTGCTTCATTGAGCTAGTATTCTGGTGGGGGAAACAAATAGATGTATTTGCCAAGTGTTTGAATTCCACCTGGCTGTTTCATTTAGGCAGAAAATGTGGCCTCCAGCTTGCTGCAGTCCCCACCATTCCCTACTGTCTTATACTCTGCCTACTTCACTCATTTATGTTACCTGCCTGAGCTCTGCAGGCTTGTGAGTTTGTGACCTGTACTCTCCCGTCCCTGAGCTGCTTGTGACGCCGGCCTCTCCTAAAACCACCAAATGGCCCAATGAGCACATAAAAGACCCTTTTCTTATCTGAATCTGAATCCCGAGTTGCCATTAACCTGAAGTTACCCTGGGTGGTTACATCACCTCACTGAGATCTCAATGTTCTCAACTGTAAAGTGGAGGCAACCATATCTGCTTTACAGGACTTCTGTGAGGACTAGACATTGCCTAACCAGCTCTTACTCCTCCTTGGGATCTCATCCTTAGCAATACTTCTTAAAGAAACCTACCCAGACCTCCTGACTAGGTCAAATCCCTCTAATATACGTAGATCCTCCCACCACGTTCCTCTTCTGGGGAGTACCTGTGGGAGTTACAATTGTACCTTAGCTTATTTGATTATTTGATTAATGCCTGCCCCTCCCAGCAGACTTGGAAGTGCAAGTGGCACGGATCCCACTTTTGCTCACCACCTATCATCACGCCTGGCACAAAATAGATGCTCAAAAAATACTAAAGAGAAGGAAAAGTAAACTGTGCAAAGACAACCCCTGGCATACATTGGGTGCCCCACAGATTCTCTCTGACCCTCCCTTCACCTAATGCCTGTCACATAAACGACACTCCTAGCTTCTGGGCAGCTAGAATTTGTAGACTGAGTTTTATCTAAGACTTCTGCTGAGAAAGAAGTCACTAAGCTTTCTTTTCTAATAGGCCACCTACTCCTAGAACGGGGATTTTTGTTTTGCCCACTGATGTATGCTAAGTGCCTAAAACACTGCCTGGCACCTCATCAATAAAGGGGTGGGTGGGCGGGCGGGCAGGCATCGCTCTGAGTTTCACAGAAGTTGGGAGGCAAGGACAGCTCCTCCAAGCAACCACAGTGGCGGGTGGCGAGGGAGGAGCGGGGACTCTGGGCCCAGACCCCCCTGGTTCACGTTCTGCCACATCAACTTCCCCAGAGCTAGGGCAGCAGGACCCCCAGACGACGGGGCGTCCCCTCGCCCGCCCTGGAGTACGGGATGGAGCCAAGCACAAGTGCTCCCACGGAGGAGGGGAAGGTGGGGAACAGCTGGGGCGCCCTCGCGCCTTCCCTGGGGACCTGGACGGGGCTGCCCCAGGTGCTCCCACACCGGGGGTCAGACAAGGCGCCCCCGCGCCGCCCCTGGGGGCCTGGGTGGGACCGCCCCAGGTGCTCCCCCACAGGAGGTAACCAACAGGGCACACCCGCGCCGCCCCAGGTGCTCTCTCACCTGAGGGACGGATGGGGCGGCCCCGCGCCCCCCTAAGGGACGGGACGGGGTCGCCCAGGTGCTCCCACAGGAAGACACCGGGGCCCGAACCCCTCCGCGAGGGCAGCAGTCCGCGACAGTCGCCGCCCTCAGAGGATGCCCCGGAGATGTCCACACCCTCTGCGACAGACCCCTCCGCCAGGCAAAGGAGTCCCCGCTCCCACTGCCTTTTCCGCTACAGAAAGGCCTTTGCGCCGCCTCCCCAGTAGTGTCCTTCACCTCAGAGACGTCTCCCCGCCTCCCAGACTCCACGGCTGAGGGAAGCCTCCCACTCTCCTTTTCCACACTGTTCCATCTTCTCCCGCAAAATGTCTGCTCGGCCTCCGACTGTGTCCCTCCGCCCCGCGAAGCTTCTCCGCGCCCCTCCTCACTCCTAAAGTCCCTCAGCGGCGAGTCGCTGCGCTGCGCGTCTCGCGAGAGTCCACCACGCAGCCCTCTTCCCCAGCCCCTCGCCCGCGAGGAAGCCTCCCGGACCCCGCGGCGCGCGGTCGCGGGCGGCGCATGCGTGGCCGCGGCTCCCAGCACCCCCCGCGCAGTCCGCGGGCGGAGCGGAACAGGCCGCGCGCGCGGGGCCGACAGCCGCCCTGTGCGAGGCCTCGCTGGGTCCCCGCGGCTTCTCTCCTCTCAGGGGCGGAACCGCCTCGCGGCCTTTCCTCAGCGTGCGGAGGTTTCCTGAGGACGGCCGGGACCGCCTTGGGCCCAGAAGAGCCCGGCGCTGGCCTCGGACACCGCCGGCCTCACAGGCCACCCGCAGCGGCCTGGGCGCGCCTCCCAGGCCGAGCCTCGCACCCGGAACCCCAAACCCCCGGCCGGGCGGGGCCTGCACATCCGGCCCCACCCACCCGGGGCCTCGCCTCCCCGGAGCCCAGCCCCCTCCCGGCCCGACGTCCGCCCCCGCCCACCCCTCTTTCTGTCCCCCCTGATTTTCTCCCGGTTCCCTGGCCTTGCTCCTTCGGACATTGCACTAAAAGAGATGCGCCCTGGAAAACCACATCTTGTTTGGAGAAGAGCCCGGGTTTGGGACCTTAGGGTACAAATTCTTCTTTTCCAGCGCCTAGGATAGATTTGATTAATGAGCCCGGAGTACCCTGTGCCTGCTGACACTGCCGTTTTCCACTTCCCTGCCCTCCCACACTTCCAAAATCATTAAGCAGGGAGCTCTCGGAGGTTTATGAGTCTACTTTGAGCTAGACGTGAGTTTGACCCCCGGGTTGGAGCATGGCTGTATCCCTGGACCCTCAGATCGACGCTCCCCTGGAGGTTGAGGAATGCTTAATAATGAAGGTGGAAAAGGACCCCGAGTGGGCAGCGGAACCCACTCTGGAAGGATCGGAGAGCTCTGAGTCCGAGACCTTTCGCAAATGCTTCAGGCAATTCTGTTACGAGGATGTGACTGGACCCCATGAAGCTTTCAGTAAACTCTGGGAACTTTGCTGCCGGTGGCTGAAGCCAGAAATGCGTTCCAAGGAGCAGATCCTTGAGCTGCTGGTGATTGAACAGTTTCTCACCATTTTACCGAAGAAGATTCAGGCGTGGGCACAGAAGCAGTGTCCGGAAAGTGGAGAGGAGGCGGTGGCCCTGGTAATACATTTGGAGAAAGAGACTGGAAGACTAAGACAGCAGGTGAGAGAGGATTTTCCAAATTGTTGTATTTAGAAAGAAGGAGATGGGTAAGGTGGGGGCGGCGGGGGGCGGGGGAGACAGGCATGCCTTGCAGATAGGGCTTATTATGGAGGGAGAAATGGTACTAATGAGAGACCTTTAAAGTGAATCAACTTAAAAGAGGATCGGAATTTCATATTAAATAGGAAAAAAAAAATCTTGCTTGAAATAGTATTTTGCAAATGAAGTTAAACATTATGCATCGACGTATTTGTTCACGTCTTTGGCATAATGTTTCCCAAAAATTATATGAGAGAACAATGCATTATGCTTTGCCGGGTTGGACTCTTGCAGCCTGATTCTAAAGAGGGCTATTTTTGCAAAGAAAGAAAGCACAAACTTCATCAGTTATCCCAGGGCCCTCTCTAGTCCTTTAATATTCTAATGTGTATCTTCTGAGGTGCCCTCATGCCATCATCCTTGTCACTGTTCTCTAGTTTAACCACCAGATCTTCGTCCGTCAGTGGCATTTCATGGTCTTCTAGTTGTTTTCAACAGCCCTTTCATTAACCTCATGAAATCCTGCAAGATTTGCAAGATTTGCAGTTTCACCTTGCACGGGATTTGCATTCGTATAAAGATTTGACTATCAGCAGGCTGCTGTGTTGGTCAGGGATAGACACTACATGTGGAAATTAATTTTATATTTTCAGTTCACTAGTGAATTTATTTTGCTGCTCTCTCAACCTAAGAGATGTGAGGACTCAGTATCTATTCTAATACTAAGGAGGCTGTGTATTTTACTCCTGATAGATTTTTCCCCCTCTGTATACTAATGAAGAGCACTCTCCTGTTCCCTTATCCCTAGACTTCTGGACAGTACTATTTACCCAATGCCCTTGGAGACTCCACTTGGCATGGAGTGAAATTTTCATTCCTTCTCATATCTCCTGTCCTTCTCTGATATCTTTCTGGGGGAAGTTTGGTCTTCATCGGGCCCTGTTTTCCTCCCTCTTTCCATTATGGCATTGGCTTTATTTCCCAGGTTAGCAGTCCTGTGCCCTCAGAGAAGCAGGTCCCACTGAGAGCAGCATGGGAGGTAACGGACTTTCAGCCAGAGCAGGTGGAGACTCAACCCAGGGTGGTGTCTCTGGAGGAAGCTGGAAGCCTCCACTCAGGACATGAGGAGCAGCTGAACCGAAAGAGAGAGCATTGGCCTTTACCCAGGAATGGTAAGAAGAACTCAGAGCATTCCCAGTGCAGAGACAATTGCACAAGTATTTTGTAACCCTAACTCCATGACTTGCTCACAGTAAGATCCCCTCAATACGTATTTGAAAATAAATGGAATATTTGGGGAGCAAGTGTTCATTTGCTTCAAGAGTTGGGAATATGTGCAGCATAAGTAAAAGGCATCTGGGAAGATGGACTCTGGGAAAACTTAGTTTGCCCGGACTGGCCTCAAGGTCATGCCGTGAAATTTAAGAATCTCCCATTCCATAACCAGCTTGTGTTTTTTCAGTCCTGCCATGTGTGCATGTGTCTGTGTTCTTGGCTGACTATAAACAACTTTAAAAACTGTTTGGAAAGAGAAACAAGATATTTACTTTATATATTTTTTAAGATTTTATTTATTTACTTGAGAGAGAGAGAGAGAAAACACAGAGGGAGAGTGAGAGGGAGAAGCAAACTCCTCATTAAGCAGGGAGCCCGATGCGGGGCTCCATCCCCGGACCCTGGGATCATGACCTGCGCCAAAGGCAGACGCTCAACCAAGTGAGCCACCCAGGTACCCCAAGATATTTACTTTAAAAAATTGGCTCACAAGTGAAGCATCACAGAAGTAGCATATGAAAGTGGTAAACAATAAGATTTCACAGAGGAGGGAGCACAGGCTTCCTAGCTGCCCTGGACATTAGTAAGTCATGTAAGAGGAAATCGAACACCCTGTCTTTCCCCGTCCACTGTTATCTCTTCATCCCCGCAGTCTGGTGTCAGGCTGAGAGAGAGGGATGGGATGATCACTGGACCTACAGCAGAAGGCTTGGGTTTATATCTTCCTGTCTCTGTACCTCTGTCTGTCTGTCCTTAGGCAAGTAATATGGAAAGGAGCATTAACGCACAGAGGTTAAGCGATTAGGCCTTAGAGACAGACAGCCCGGACACAAAACCTAGCTCTGCCATCCATTATCTGTGTGGCCTTGGTTAGGTTACTTCTCAAACTTTCCATTCTGTCATTTGTAAAAGGAAAATAATAAGGTTGTTAGTGTTGGTTAAAGGAGGCAGCGTAAAGGGACCAGCACATATGGTGGTCAATAAATGTTAGTTCCCTTTCTCCCATAATGGCACAATTATTTTTAAACTTCCAATCTCAGACAGATTTTACACAACCCCTCACCAAGTGGCAGGATTCACTACTATGTACCCAACCTCCTTATCTTTCCTGAAATTCATATTGTGATAGAATTCATTGCAAATATTAATGTTTTCTGGATTTCAGAGTTCCCCTGGATCACATGCTCTCAGTTACTTTGGCTGATAAGCTTACTCCAATAAATGTATGGTGTTTCTGGATTTGCCATCCAGGGATTCACAACGTGGAAAAGTGTGTTCTGTTGAGGTGCTTAGCGGGACAGTGCCACTGTGGTGTGCCATTCTCCCTGCTCAGGAGCACACTGCTTCTGTAACAGCTTGCTGAGAAACAGACACTGAACAGTATCTGCGCTTTTCACCGTTTTTTGTAAGCGTGAAAATCCTTTTTTTGGATTTCTTTTAGTTAGCGAAAATAGGTACTAATGTATGCCTTTTGTAAAAACAAAGTGGCATAACAGGAACTTTCGAAAAGCAGGGAATATCTGTAATATGTTTCCACGGAAGTGATTCAGGTTGCTTCTTTAGAAAGTGGTGGAACAAGCTCTTGAATTCTTGATCACAGTAATATTCATTCTGGAAGTTTTCCCTAGATAGAGGGTTCCAGAGTAGAAGTTAGACCACAGACTGTGCCATATATACGTGTATATATCTTCCTCCTACCTTTTGAGGAAGTGTACTGTATTTGCCTGTCGTTTCCAGGACTATGTATCTACGTGTGCTAACTTCTTTAGCATATTAAAGCGTTGATGAACTCATCCTAGAGATTGCGAACTGATAACTCACATGCCAAGTCAGACTTGTGTTTTACCTACAAAGGGTTTTTGGTTTGGGAGTTTTATTCATTTGTTCGTTTTTAGTTCTCAAGGTTTAAGATTTTTAAGATTTTATGCAAAAGTCCAGATTTCTGGCTTCTCCTGAAAATATCAGAAGCTCTAATGATAGCAGGCCCATTGTCTCACAATGAAGCATTAAGTGGAAGTGGGCATTGGCAATATACCCTTTCAGTGGTGTATGTGCTCTCCAGTTCCCCCATTCCTTACCTGGCCCCCTTCATGATGCACTTTGCCTGCTAACTCCCTGCAAGCATTCACGTTTGTGAGCCCTGTTTCAGGGTACCATGGTTTCGGGCATTGTTCTGAAATCATTGATGAAATGATCAATTTATATTTGCTGGGTTTTTTTTTTTATGCATGCTCATTTCTTAAAAGGAGAAGCTGCATGAATTAAAGATCCAGAGCCCAGAGCCCTGATTGTTTCTTTCTCTTCTTACAGCTCTGCCTTCTCCCTGGGTTCCCGCCCCTGCTAATGAATGGAACAGCGTGGATCAGGAAGTAACCACCACACGACTACCTATTGTGTCTCAGGTACATTGTAAATCTTCTCTCTGCCTTCCTAGGGTATTCAGTCCCAAGGATTTCCTGTGCCTTCACTGTCCTCAAACTTTTATACTCCCTCCAAGAGACTGTTCCCCCCTGACTCCTTTTGCAGGGAAGACTGGACCCAGCCGTCTGACTAATGAGACTCCTTGCTGAATCATCCCTCTTATGATTCTTTATAATATCTTCT